GAGGAGAAGGAGGCTATCATCACTCCATCCATAATATAAGTATGTGGGGTTCCTCGGTAGCGTAATTATGTTTGACATTTGTTTGAACATTCCTCCTGTAGAGTGACATGCCCGACTTAAAAGTAGCCCGGCATGCGCGGCGCTGGCTGCCTGGATCCTATTGGCGACCTCCACGCGGTGCGACCTTCACGCGGTGCGGGACCGAATGCGCTTCAACCTTTTCCTGCTTCCAGCCCCAGAGAGTGCGAGAAGGAGCTCTGTCATTGTCCCGTTAACCTGCTTCCCCCCCACGGTGGATCTCCCCGGTCGCTATCTCCAGAAACTTCGGTGCGTCGTCATATAATTCTCCACCTCCGCGAAAGAGAATCGGTCGTCCAGGACTATAAGGTGCGACACGCCGATGCTCTCGCAGTACTCGTCCTCGAGGACGCCCATGCATCTGATCTTATTGAGCGTCGGGCCGAAAGACACCTCGATAGCCTTGAACGCCGGCCTTCCTTTCTGACTCGCTCTTCCCAGAAGAAGTTTTGCGGGGGCTTCAGAACAACCGGCAAAACAGCACGGCGCGACCCGAAGTCGGTTGGTGCCCAAATGGAAGTCGGGCGCGAAGGTACGGTAGGTTCATGCGGCGTTGGCGCACCAGCGACGCCGGCGAAGGCGTGCAAGGTTGAATTCTGCGACGCGGAAGCACCGAGGGACACGGTAACGCCACTGGGTGCACTGTGTCCCCCGGGGCCATAGGCGACCCGAGGAGGAGGAGGGGGAGGAGGAGGAGGAGGAGGAGGAGGAGGAGGAGGAGGAGGGGAGGAGGAGGAGGAGGAGGAGGAGGAGGAGGAGGAAGGAAGGGAGGAGAAGGAGGAGGAGAGAGGGGGAAGGAGGAGGTGGAGGAGGGGGAGGAGGAGGGGGAGGAGGAGCGAGGAGAGGAAGAGCAGGAGGAGGAGGAGGAGGAGCAGAGCTGAGGAGGAGGAGGAGGAGGAGGAGGAGGAGGGAGAGAGGAGGAGACGACGGGTCGCCTAAGGCCCTGCGGACAAAACCGTCCACCTGTGCGGGGCGCGGCGAGCCTCCGCGCCTGCCTGCGGCGCGCGCGCCCTGGCGCGGGCCCCTCCCTCGGGGGAGGGGCGGACGCCCCCCCTCCCGTCGGTGAGGCCCAGAGCCCGACGCCGCGATCCGGTGTAGGGGCAGCGGCGCCGGTCTACTCCTTGGTCGCATCCTCCTAATCCTCCTCCCCCATCCTCCTACCCTCCTAACGCCTCCGCTATTCCCCCTCTCATCCTCCTCCTCCGCCTCATACCTCCTCCTTCATACTCCCCTCTCAAGCCTACTAATCTCACTACTCATCCTAATCCTAATCCCTCCCCCTGCTCCTCCCCCTACTCCTCATCCTCCTCTCCTCCCTCCTGCTCTTTAACCTACCTCCCGTCCTCCTCATCCTCATCCCCTCTCCTCCTCCTCCTCTCCTCCTCCTCCGATTCTCCTCCTCCTCCTCCTCCTACTTCTCCTCTCCTCCTCCTCTCATCATCATCATCATCATCATCATCATCAGCATCCATCATCACCATCACCACCACAACCACCACCACCATCTCCATTCATCACATCAGCATCAATCATCATCCTCATCATCATCATCATCATGACATCATCATCACATCATCATCATATCATCAGCATCATCATCAGCCAATCATCATCATCCTCATCCTCATCCTCACCTCATCACTCATCATCCATCCATCAGCATCAGCATCAGCATCAAGCCATGGCCCCATCCGCATCAGCATCATCATCATCATCATCATCATCATCATCATCATCATCATCAGCAGAATCACCATCACCACCACCACCACCATCATCATCATCGTCAGCAGCAGCATCAGCATCATCGTCACCATCAGCATCATCATCGTCATCATCATCATCATCATCATCATCATCATCATCATCATCATCCTCATAATCATCATCATCATAATCATTATCATCATCATCATCATCATCATCATCATCATCATCATCATCCTCATCGTCATCATCATCAGCATCAGCATCAGCATCATCATCATCATCGTCATCAGCATCATCATCACCATCACCACCACCACCATCATCATCATCAGCAGCAGCATCAGCATCATCATCATCATCAGCATCATCATCGTCATCATCATCATCATAATCATCATCATCATCGTCATCATCATCATCATCATCATCACCACCATCATCATCATCAACAACATCATCATCATCGTCATCATCATCATGATCATCAGCATCATCATCATCATCATCATCATCATCAGCTCCTCATCTACCCCTCCTTCCCCACCTCCACCTCCCGAAAGAGCCAACTGATGGCAGTCGTGGTGGTTGTGATGGGGACGACGCCAGTGATGCGCCCTCGGGTTGGCGACGATCGATCTCACAACAGATCACACTATCGATCTCCCAATCGACCTCATCGTCGATCTGACAATCGAACTCGCCATCGATCTCAGATTCGGACTCACAGGCGATCTCACAACAGTTCTCACTATCAGTCTCAGAATCGATCCCCAAATCGACCTCACAATCGATCTCATGATCGATATCACTGTCGTTCCCACGATAGATCTCACAATCATCATCGAACTCGCAACAAATCTCACTATCATTCGCACAACGGATCTCACGATCGATCTCCTTAACGATCTCACTATCGGTCTGGCCTCCCTGCTCCGGGACACTGACTCGCGCCGCTCTGCTCCGGGATTCGGAACACCGACGGGACCCCGATGCGCCATTGACAGGACACCCCCGGCCAGCGCGCGCCGGGGGGGGGACGGGAGGGGCGGACAACTGTCTCCACAGCCCCTAGCCACGGCGGCATCATTCCTCTCGCGCGCCCACGCAGCTTCGCCTCGTTCACACACACGACACGAACACGAAACCGAAACCGATTTCCTGGTGGGGGGCTCTCCGTTCAACTGCGATCTCACTCCCCAACCTCCGATACAAAAAAACTCCCACCGTGATTTTGTTCATGACTCGGTTTGCCATCCTGAGCCGTTTCATTCTTGACGGCCCTGGGCCTGGTGAGGGCCCCCAGAGGCCGAAACTATCAAAAGCCTCCCGTCGTGATTCCGTTCCTGAATCGAGGAGGCCCTTGTCAGGGGACTCGGGTTTGCCTGACGGGGCCATCGTGAAAATGACGAGACCCAATCTGAAATTTGACGCGAGCTCCGACAACAAACATCCCACGAGAACTGGACCGTCAAAATCCAGGACGCGCTCGTCAAAAAATGTCGGACAACCTGAAATCTGGCGCACTCGAACCGTATGTCTCCACGACCAGGGACCGGGTTTCCATCCCGAGTCGTTCTTTGACGGCCCTGGGGCCGTGGAAGGGCGACCAAAAGCAGAAAATATGAAAAAAAAAAAAAAAACAAAAAAAAAAAAAAAAAAAAAAAAAAAAAAAAAACTCCCGTCGTGATCATTTCAAGACGCGAGCAAGGAGGAGGAGGAGAGAGGAAGAGGAGGAGAAGGAGAAGGAGGAGCAGGGAGGAGGAGGAGGAGGAGGAGAAGGAGGAGGAGGAGGAGGGAGAGACGAGGAGGAGGAGGAGGAGGAGGAGGAGGAGGACGAAGGAGGAGGAGAGGAGGAGGAGAGGAGAAAGGAGGGACGAGGAGGAGGAGTGAAGAGGGAGAAAAAGAGGACAAGGTGGAGGACGAGGAGGAGGAAGGAGGAGGTGGAGGAGGAGGACGAGGAGGAGGAGGAGGAGGAGGAGGGGGGAGGGGGAGAGGAGGAGGGAGGGAAGATACTGGAAGAATGGTGGAAAATGAGGAGGATGAGGAGAAGGAGGAGGGGAAGGAGGAGGAGGGGAACGAGAAGGAGGAGGAGGAGAAGGAGGAGGAGGAGGGGGGAGGAAGATGAGGAGGAGGACCAGGAAGAGGAGGAGAGAGGAGGAGGAGGAGGAGGAGGAGGAGGAGGAGGAGGGAGGGGATCGGAAGACGGACTGAGATGACCCTCCGCGTCTTGTCAGCAGGGCCTGAAGTATTCGGGGGGGGGGGCGGGCGGCCCCCGCCCATGCCCAGCGGCGGCTCCTGCTCGCTCCGCTCGGGCGGCGTGGCCGCCTCGGGAGGGGGCCGCTCCTCCCCCCTGCTGCGCCCCGAGGGAAGGGGGAAGTGGAACGAGGAGGACGAGGAGAAGGACGAAGAGGAGGAGGAGGAGGAGGAGGAGGAGGAGGACGAGGATGAGGACGAAGAGGAGGAGAAGGAGGAAGAGGAGGAGGAGGAGGAGCAGGAGGAGGAATAGGAGTACGAAGAGGAGGAGGAAGACGAGGAGGAGGAGGGGGACGAGGAGGAGGAGGAGGAGGAGGACAGTTGTAAACCCAAGACCCATCAACGATGTAGGAATACACCCTCCCTCCAAGCTCCCTCTTCATAGGCCCCTTGCAAGGGTTCATTTCACTTGAAGGATCTGCCTCGTTGGAAGACAACCATTTGAAGACGCAGAAGGATGCCGAAACATTGTTCCCGGGATTCGGAGGAGGAGTCAGCTAGTCGATCCTGGCGCGTTGCCCCCGTGGGCAGGCCCATTTCCCTGTGCATGACCTCGTGCGCCACTGCGCAACTCGCGTAATACTCGATTGAGTTGGGCCTGGATTCGGAGCGCGCAAGCATGCAGCCCCGGAGGCCCGACCTCCCCTGCGAGCGCCGCGATGTCGGCCATCCGTCCCGAAGCGCTCGCCAGGAAGCTGCCCAGATCCGCGGCGGCGCAGCCTTGCCCAATACTTCAGGAAGCGCATCGTACTGGGCGACAGGCCACCGGCGATCCTTCTGTCTCACCCGCGGTTCAAGATCAGGGGGCCTGCTGGTCGTCAGAAGGGTGGTAGAACACCGCTGGAAGCCAAGTCGGAGACGACGGGCTTGCTGGCCAGTGATCGGCCGGGCAAATGTGCCTCCCAAGACCAAGTGTTCGACAGCGCCGACGGTGGCCCCCCGCTGCGCTGCAGCGCCACGCGTTGTCGTCCAGCTGGCAGAGGTACGAACAATCGAGCCAGTCTGCCCACGCCGCTTTGACCATCAATTTGCCCGAGTCCACGCGAGCGCGGTGCAGCTCCACGGCGCGGGCCGCGGCCTGCAAGCCGCCCGCCGCGCCTTTCTCGGGCGCTGCAACGCGTAGCTGCGCAGCCTTTGCCGCACGCGCATGTCGGCAAAACCATGAGGATAACCGAGCGCCTGCAGCTGTCGAACGTCGCCGGGGCACGTCCATAGACTGGAGCCAGCACCAGGCGCCGGAACATCTCAGTTTCCACGGACGCCCAGCTAGGTGGCAGGGCGTCGAGCTGCATGAAGAATCCGAGGGCAGAGGTGATGCAGACCGTGTAGGCCATCGTGGTCATGTAGAGACCACCGCCCGCTGCTCCAACCCAGCTCGCTCTACCTAGCACCTTGTCAAGGGCCTTGTCGTAGGTCTCGCATCCCCGCTCGGGGCCGAGGAGGAAGCTGAGGTAAATGGCGCGCCAGGCGACCTGCGCGCAGCACCTGCTGGGGTACGAGGAGAGCACGTCTCGCAGCACAGTGGCCTGGTCGCTGCGGAAGAGCGGGACAACGCAAGTCTTCGGCAGGTTCAGCTGCAATCCCGAAATCCGCCCGCAGTCCGTGAAGATGGAGAGCAACGCTGGCGCCGACACAAAAAGGTCGGGGGTGACAGCAGCGACGTCGTCCGCGAAGGCCCTCGTCTCCAGCGAGGGTTGGTGCCCCGTCTCATCCGCCTCAGCAACATGTCCACCGCAAGTGCGAACAATATTGGGGAGAGCGGGCAGCCTTGACGCAGCCCCGCTCTTGAAGTGAACCCAGGGTGGACCGACCCGCCAACCACCAGAGCACTGTTGTTTTGCGACGAGTCACAGCAGTCACGGATACAGGCCCGCCGCACGAAGCAGGCGCTTGAGGAAGCTGTACAAGACGCTGGGGAAGGCTGCCCTGAAATCAAAGAACCAAGCCGCTCCCCGGTGATGCTGCAGCGCTGTCCTCATCATGGCTTCGTCGACGTCCGTGGGCGGGCATCGAGCGGCCTGGGATGAAACCGCGCTGGTCTTCCGACACAGCCTGGGATAAGGGCTCTTCAGCGCAGATCCGCACGGCGTTCGCAAGGAGGCGGTTGTCGCAATGGCCGTGTGTCTGCCGACCCATGTCTGGTCACACCGTTTACGGTGGTCCCGGCTCCCTTCGGGAGGAAGATCATCAAGCTGTTGTTGAACGTGGCGATGAATTCGACAAAGTAGTCAGGCTGAGGCTGCTGAGTAAGTGCGTGAAGAGCGTGCCACAGCACGTGGATTCCCAAGGAGCTCAGCCGCCTCCAAGCGGCAAATGAAAGGCCGTCCGGGCCAGGGGCAGTTCGGAGAGCTCTCCATAGCAGCAACGACGCGGCGGCGACATAGCCTCCAGTCGGCGGCATCGTGCGGAGGCACTGCTGGCGGCGTGTCCTCCTGCACCCACTGTTCTAGGAGATGTTCGTCCAAGATTGGCTTCGGCATACCATGGAAACCCAAGCCAAGAAACACCCAGTGCCTCCAGCGTGCCCTGGGTTTCGTGGGTTTTGATGGTTTTGCGATGGAAAGCGTGACATCCCCACACGACGTACTGGGTCTCAGGGTTGGGTATCGCGTGAAGGTTTCTTTTGGTCAAGCTCCTGCTGTACTATTTCTCACTTATGCTGACCAGCATCCCCAGGGGCGCAGCGGACGCTGGCCTGGCGGTGGCTGATGTAGGCGCCTTTCTAGCGCTGGCGGCATGCGGCCTCCCAGGGCAGGTGAAGTGACGTGAAGTGTCGAGGCCCTAATGACTGACTGGGAGAGGCCCACTGAGGACCGAGCCCCGAAGACGAGAGACGAGACGAGACGCGCGCGTCCGCCAGCAAGCGGGCCCCTTAGGAACGGCGCGGGCGGGCCGGGGCCCGAGCAGATGTGCGCGCGTGCAAGGTGGTCCTTGTCCCACTTGTTCCAGAGTGTCCGGTCTCGAGCAGCATCTAAACGCGTCGTGGCATGATCCCCGAGGACCGAGACCCGAAGGGACTTCCCAGAACGAGGGCGCCAAGCGTGGGCAACCTCGGGCCGCGGGCTCCACGGGCCGGCGGCGCGGTCTGCTGCCGCCGTTTCGCGGCCTCGGGCCCTCCACTGTTTATATAACATCTCCTCGGAGCGCCCTGCGGCAGAGGGAGGGGGGGAGGAGAACGAGGGGGAGGGCAGGGGCGCCACAGCGCGCCGCGAGCCGCAGCCGCAGCGCCACGCGGCCTCCGCGGCCTCCGCGCCGCCGTAGCCTCGTCTTGCCGTGCGCCTCGGCGCGGCTGCCGGGCTGCCTGTGCCCGCGGCGGCCTCCGGGACGCCGCCGCGCCGCTGCCTGCACGCCCTGCCAATGGCTCGCGGTCAGCGCCGCGGAGCGCGCGCGGCGGCGGCCCCCGCGCCAGCCACTCGCAACCGGTGTGGCGGCCTGGGTGGGTCGACCGTGGCGCAGCCGTCCTCGCTGCCGTCGCCGCCGATCGCTCCGCCCTCGCCGCAGCTGGGCCGTGGCGGCCCGTGCCTCGCCGGCAACGGTGTTGGACGGGCTCCGTGGGCGGCGGCAGAGCGCGCAGCCGTCTTGACCCATTGCGCATAGCGCATAGCGTCGCGATCGCGAGCGATCGTCATCGTCGTCACCGCCAGCAGCAGCAGCGGTTCTTCTTCCTCTTCTTCTTCGTCTTCATCATCATCACCACCAACAGCAGCGACGTCGTCATGGGTATCATAATCGTCGGCGTAAGCACCATCAATGACGATCATCGGCATCCACATCATCAGCATCAGCAGCAGCATCATCATATTCAATATGTCCCTCACCGTCGTCTTCATCAGCATCTCTACCCTCTTCCTCCTCACCACCACCACCACCATCATCATCATCATCATCATCATCATCATCATCATCATCATCATCATCACAACCATCATGATGATCATCCTCATCAACATCATCAACATCGGCACCATCAGAATCGCAATCGTCGTCGTACTACGTAATCATCCTCCTCGTCCTCCTCCTCCTTATCATCATCATCGTCGTCATCATCACCACCACCACCATCATCATCATAATCATCAACAGCATCATCATCAGCCGCATCATCATCGGCATCATCATCACCATCATCAGCAGCATCCTCATCATCAGCATCGTCATCATGATCCTCGTCGTCATCGTCATCGTCATTGCCATCGCCATCCTCAATCTCATCGAGGTCGTCGTCAAACATATCATCGGCATCATCGCAATTATTACCTTCATAATCAGCATCGCCATCGTCGTCATCGTCATCGTCATCGTCTTCATCATCATCATCATCATTATCATCATCATCACCATCAGCATCATCTTCATCGTCATCATCATTACTATCGTCGTCGTCGTCCCCGCCGTCATTGTCAGCATTACGATCACCGCCTTCATCGACATTCAGCGCTCTGCAGGCACTAGGCAGCGCTTTCTAGCGCGTGCATGTGTTCATAGAATCGTCGTCGCTGCCATGATCATCACCGTTGTTGTCGTCGTACTCATCACTGCCTGCATCGTCGGTGACAAAACAATCAGCATGAACCCCCACTCAAAATCCTACTCTTCCACACCTGCTTCTCACCATCCCCCTCCTTCATTCGATACCCGTCCACCCTCTTTTTCTCCCGCACTTCCTCTCCCTGCAAACATCCTCCTCCTCCACCACCGTATCTTCAGATTCCTCCTCATCATCATCACCGTCATCCTCTGTCCTGTCGCGTTTGTCCACCTCCTCATCTTCATCATTCACCTCCTTCTCCTCCTCGTCATCCAACGCCCGATGTCCATCATCAGCCTCATCCTCTTCCTCGCCATCATCACCGTCATCACTGCCATCACCCGCGCAGCATCACCATCAACAATCACAATCAGTAACCTCATCCTCATCATCCTCATCTTCGTCGTCGTCACCATCACCATCACCATCGCCATCACAATCACCATCACCATCACCATCACCATCACCATCACCATCAACATCACCATCATCATCAACATCAGCATCGTCATCATCGTCACCATCAATCACCATCATCATAAGCATCATCATCAGCAGCATCATCATCATCAGAGTGAGGGGGCTGAACCGAACGGTCATTCACTGTCCCTGGGTGCGTGGCTGAACGGGAATTCCGCGATGCAGATTCTTGTTGTTGAGGATATTGTTGTTGTTGTTGGTGTTGTTGTTGTTGTCGTTGTTGCTGTTGTTGTTGTTGGTGTTGTTGTTGTTGCTGCTGCTGGTGTTGTTGTTGTTGGTGTTGTTGTTGGTGTTGTTGTTGTTGTTGTAGTTGTTGTTGTTGTTGTTGTAGTTGTTGTTGTTGTTGTTATTGTTGTTGTTGTTGTTGTTGTTGGTGTTGTTGTTGTTGTTGGTGTTGTTGTTGTTGAACATTATTACTTCTAAAGAATACTTATTGTTGGGACCCCTGGTGCACGGCCCCCCCGCCGCGCCTAGGCCGCAGCCACATTTCCATCACTTTCGTGAGGAAGTCTCAGGCAAAACGGGTTGGTCCGGATCCGGTTGTTTTGTTCCCCCCCGCTTTCCCTTGCAAAAAATAAGCTAAAGTAGACATTTCTTGTTCTAACATAACCAAACTTCAAGAATCCCTTGCAAAAAATGAGGTAAAGTGGACATTCGCGCGCGCAAGACGAAATCCTTCCAAAACCTTAGTTTCCGTAGCGATTTTAACATAAAAACATAAAAAAAAAAACGTTTTTTTTTTTTTTTTTTTTTTAAAAAAAAAAAAAAAAAAAAAAATCATCCCGCGCGCTCTTGCGGATTCGTAGGAAACCCAACACTTTTTAAACATTTCTGTCAAACGGGCTTTTGCGAGCAACTTTTTCGAACTTCTGCAACAACGGTTGCGCACCTGCCAGGGCCATCATCCCTGTCAAATAATACCATGCGGGACACATTCGTTTTTTCTTCGCGCGCGCACGCCGTCGTCGTCGGCCGCGGGGCCCTGAATAGTAGCCACGTTCGTCCGCATGCCACGAAGTGAAGTGTCCGAACGTCATAGGGCGGGAAGCTGGGTGTGGGTGGTGGCGAAGAGTCGTTTGGAAATTTGGTAGGCTTGAACCGGCCCCCCCAAAAAAGTGGGGGTATTGCCCGCCTCCATGAAAACCCTGGCACTGGTGAGAACGGAGTGTCCCAACGTGCTAGTAATGTTGTTGTTGTTGTTGTTGTCGTCGTCGCGTTGTCTGTGTTGTTGTTGTTGTTGCTGTTGTTGTTGTTGTTTGTTGCTGATTTGTGTTGTTGGTGTGTTGTTGTTGTCGTCGTCCACCCGCGACCCGCCCCGCGAGACCCACCCTGTGACCCAAACAGACCCCACCCGCCGATCTCCACCCGGGCACACCCCCGCACCCCCGACCCACCAGCGACCCCCCGCGACCCACCCCGCGACCCGCCCGCGACCTACCCCGAGACCAGCGGCGACCCACACCGCGGACCCACCCGGGACCCAACACCGCGACCCACCCGCGGACCACCCCCGCGACCCACCCGCGGACCCACCCGCGACCACCCGCGGACCCACCCCGCGATCCCCACGACCCACCCCGAGACCCCCACAGCGGGACCCACCGCGACCCACCGGCGACCCAACCCGCGACCCACCCGCGACCCACCCGCGCACCCACACGCGACCCACCGCGACCCACCCCCGCGACCACCCGCGACCCACCCGCG